GGGGGCGGGCAGAGGGCCTGCTGCCTGCTGGGGCAGGAGGAGGATGGGGCAGGGTGGCAGCGGGGCAGCCGAGGGCCGGCAGTCTGGGGGGCATGTCAACCCTACGGCGATGCGGAGAACTGAAGGTTTGGGTTAGGTTTTGCAGCGCTTTATTATTTTTGTACTTTACACCCAAAAATGTCAGTGCCTGCCCGGCTCCAATTAAGTTGTTTAAACATGTTGCAATGGTAGAAAAGGGCTGGTGGGGAGCCGGAGGCAGGGCGTCCGACGGAGGCAGTACCGGAGCTGGGAGCACCGAGGCTAGCGGGCTGGTGGGGAGCCGGAGGCAGGGCGTCCGACGGAGGCAGTACCGGAGCTGGGAGCACCGAGGCTAGCGGGCTGGTGGGGAGCCGGAGGCAGGGCGTCCGACGGAGGCAGTACCGGAGCTGGGAGCACCGAGGCTAGCGGGCTGGTGGGGAGCCGGAGGCAGGGCGTCCGACGGAGGCAGTACCGGAGCTGGGAGCACCGAGGCTAGCGGGCTGGTGGGGAGCCGGAGGCAGGGCGTCCGACGGAGGCAGTACCGGAGCTGGGAGCACCGAGGCTAGCGGGCTGGTGGGGAGCCGGAGGCAGGGCGTCCGACGGAGGCAGTACCGGAGCTGGGAGCACCGAGGCTAGCGGGCTGGTGGGGAGCCGGAGGCAGGGCGTCCGACGGAGGCAGTACCGGAGCTGGGAGCACCGAGGCTAGCGGGCTGGTGGGGAGCCGGAGGCAGGGCGTCCGACGGAGGCAGTACCGGAGCTGGGAGCACCGAGGCTAGCGGGCTGGTGGGGAGCCGGAGGCAGGGCGTCCGACGGAGGCAGTACCGGAGCTGGGAGCACCGAGGCTAGCGGGCTGGTGGGGAGCCGGAGGCAGGGCGTCCGACGGAGGCAGTACCGGAGCTGGGAGCACCGAGGCTAGCGGGCTGGTGGGGAGCCGGAGGCAGGGCGTCCGACGGAGGCAGTACCGGAGCTGGGAGCACCGAGGCTAGCGGGCTGGTGGGGAGCCGGAGGCAGGGCGTCCGACGGAGGCAGTACCGGAGCTGGGAGCACCGAGGCTAGCGGGCTGGTGGGGAGCCGGAGGCAGGGCGTCCGACGGAGGCAGTACCGGAGCTGGGAGCACCGAGGCTAGCGGGCTGGTGGGGAGCCGGAGGCAGGGCGTCCGACGGAGGCAGTACCGGAGCTGGGAGCACCGAGGCTAGCGGGCTGGTGGGGAGCCGGAGGCAGGGCGTCCGACGGAGGCAGTACCGGAGCTCCCATAGTCAGGGCTGCAATGTGAGCGGGAGTCTTTCTGCAGAGACTGGAGGCTTTCCCCAGAGACGCTGCCCTGGCTCCGGCAGGAGCGATGGGCTTGATGCACAGGCTAGTGGGCGAGGTTCGAGCTGGCAGCTTGTGGGGGGGGAAGGGGAATTTGTCGAGCAAAAAAAAAAGTGCAGGAAAAGTTGTTGAGGGGAAGCAGAGAAAGTCTCCTCTGTCTCTAAGGGGGAGGGAGTGGGGTCTCGCGGACCCCTTCCTTTCACTTCCCCTGGGTTCCTCAGAGCTCCGTTTGGGACCCACTGGTCCAGACCATCCCTGACCGGCGTCTGTCCAGCCTGCTCTGACGTATCTTCAGGGATGGGGATTCCACCACCTCCCTGGGCAACTTATTCCAGTGTGTCGCCCCCCCCGGGGTTAGGAACTTTTTCCTAATGTCCAACCTAAACCTCCCTTGCTGCAGTTTAAGCCCATTGCTTCTTGTTCTATCCTCAGAGGCCAAGAAGAACAAGTTTTCTCCCTCCTCCTTATGACACCCTTTTAGATACCTGTA